AGGCGCCCTGCAGACAGAGGCTGCTCTGTGGAAAACTGGCTCCACACACAGACCGGCTCCCGCTGGCCACCCCGCACTGTTACCTCTACCAGAAGCAGCAGCGCAGGGTGGTAGGTGGCTCCCCTATGAGCTCTTCATTTACAAGTCGGACCAGCAGGCTGGGACTGAGCCCACCCACCAGTCTGAGTTTTAAATGCAGAACACAGGGAGTGGGTGTTGCAGTTACCTGGGACCATTAACCAATAAGTAATCACATCGGTCAAACAGCTGACTAGCCGCTGACATCCCTAATCAATGCTGTGATTAATCAGGATACATTTTTTAAATCATGGGTTTTTTAACACAATTTTTTGTTAATCGTGTGAGTTAACTGCCAGTAACTGCCAGCCTTAAAGACTACATAGCGCCAGCACACAACCTAGGTATGGAGAGATAGGGTGGATTCTCCATACATCTTACTTTCATACCTCACTGAAGTAATGAGAAAGGAATGCCTTCTGTTAGGTTTTAGACAACTCTCTGTTCACACACATGTTGGATACAACACCACTTCTGGTTGCTCTTTGCAGCTGGCTTAACCTTGACATATTAAGTAATTTAAAAACCAAAATCCAAAACAAGGTGATAACATTCAGAGCAGGAAAATTATGTCGCTGTTATATGAACAGAGAGCTTCAGAATCTGCTCGCTACCCACATCCCATACAGATGATTGTCTTCCTCTTCCTTCTTTCTCAGATTCACCAACAAGTCTGCCTCTGTGTTGCCAGAGCCGTTTCAGAGCTAACTGCTCTTTGCTCCGAAAAATGTCCGAAACACAAAACAGCTTCACGGGTACAGCACTGGTTTGTGTTTGGGAGAAAACAATACTCACACTGTCATAGAGTGATCTCCTTTACCCTGCTGCAAATCCAATTAACTCCAGCTGCACAGGCGTAACTCAGATAAGAATCTGGTCCAAAATCTTTGAACTGTAGCATTGCATTGCTGTAGCCGTGTTCATCCCAGGTCATCAGAGAGACAATCCGAGTTAAGGCAATATCTTTTATTGGACCATTTCCTCTTGCTGAGAGAGACAAGCTTTCAACCTTATATAGTGCTGGCCTGAAGAAGAGATTTCTAACCATTTAGTAGTGATTCTCGTGGCTTGTTTCTGAATCCCCCAATTTATTAACATTCTTCTTGAATTGTAGATGCCAAATTTGGACACAATATTCCTGCAGTGGTCACACCAGGGCCAAACACAGGCAAAATAACCTCTCTGCTCCTACTCAAGACTCCTGATTACAGGCGGTTCTCACTGTACGTCCAAGATACATTTCCAAAACACTTGGGCTGTGTCTACACTGGCCACTTATTCCAGAAAAGCAGCCACTTTTCCGGAATAACTTGCCAGCTGTCTACACTGGCTGCTTGCTTTTCCGGAAAAGCAATGACGATCTAATGTAAAATCGGTATTGTTTTTCCGGAAAAACTATGCTGCTCCAGTTCGGGCAAAAGTGCTTTTCCAGAAAAACTGTTCCGGAAAAGGGCCAGTGTAGACAGCACAGTAGTCTTTTCCGCAAAAAAGCCCTGATCACGAAAATGACAATCGGGGCATTTTTGCGGAAAAGCGCATCTACATTGGTCACGGATGCTTTTCCGGAAAAAGTGCTTTTCCGGAAAAGCATCCTGCCAATGTAGACGCGCTTTTTCCGGAAACACTTATAACGGAAAACTGTTCCATTTTAAGCATTTCCAGAAAAGGGTGCCAGCGTAGACGTAGCCTTGGACTTACAGCAAAACAACTTAAATCGGTGAATATTTTTCCCGCAACTGACTTCCATTTGCACAATTTTTTTTCTTTTTCTTTTGCGCAACTTAAGCGTGGGGAATGGGAGAATGTATAACACAGCAGTTCCTACAAGTGTCAACGGCTGTAGTGCGGAACAGATGTATACCGGGGCGCCATCCTGTATATATCCTAGAGTAGCAATTGCTTTTTTGGCCACAGCATCACACTGGTAGCTCCTATTCAGCTCATTATCCACCACGACTTGCAAATCTTTTCTGGAGTCACGGTTTCCCAGAAGAGCATTCTTTATTGTGGAAGTATAGCTGACATTCCTAGGCAAATATTTCTATTTAGAAGTATTCAAATGTTTACCTTCCCCCCCACCCCCCTTCTGTTCTGAAATTTGATTTGTTCTTTTCACATGTGTTCATTTTTTTAATTGTATCCTTTGGTATATATGGTTGTGACAATTTTCTTCCACTATTTGATCTGAGGAAGTGGGTCTGGCCCACGAAAGCTCATCACCTAATAAACCATTGTGTTAGTCTTTAAAGTGCTACATAGTCCTGTTTTTTGTTTCAGCTACACCAGACTAACATGGCTACATTTCTATCAAATGTTTATGGTTAGCTTGCACCCAGTTTAACAAGAGATGCCAATTGCTCAGAAGCAGTGAGCTGGTCTTTTCATTATTTACCACTCCCTCAATTTTATGTCATCTGCAAACTTTATCAATGATACTTCATTTTCTTCTGGGTCATTGATAAAAATGTTAAATTGTGTAGGGCCAAGAGCTCTGTGGGGCCCCACTGGAAACATGCCGGCTCATTGAGGATTCTTCATTTAAAACTATATGTTGAGATCTATCAGTTTTTAATCCATTTATCCTTCTAGTTTTTTAATCAAAATGTCACAGGGTGGAAATCAAATACTGTATACGAGTCTGTCAAGCCAACATTACTACTCCAGCAACCGAATGTGTAGTCTCATTAAAAAAGGTAGCAAGTTAGTTTGACAGAATCTATATTTCATAAACCCGTGTTGATTTGCATTAATTACATGATCCTCCTTTAGTTCTTTATGAATTAACTCCCATTATCAGCCACTCCATTATCTTTCTCAGGATAGAAGTCAGGCTGACAAGTCTATAATTGTTCGGGTCATCCCATTTACCCCGTTTAAAAATTGACTCGGCATTAACGGTCTCCCAGCCTTCTGGAACTTCCCCAGCGTTACGCGTCCTATTGAGAAATCGTCATTAACGGTCCAGCAAGTTCCTCTGCCAGGCGCTTTTTAAATTTTTGGAATGTAAATGAACTGGACCTGCTGTTTTTAAAATGTCTCACTTAAATAGCTGATGGTGAATATTCTCCTTGGCTACTTGTGAATTGGAAAGGAAGTTATGCTCACTGGATCATCTGTTTTCCCCGCATACTGAATCGAAATATTTATTGAACTCTTCTGCCTTTGCTGCATTATAATTGGTAATTCTACCATGACCATTCAGTGGTGGATCAATATCATGGCCAGGATTCTTCCTGTTCCTAAAATATTTTTTAAACTCCATGTTTTCTACTGACCACAGATTTCTCCTTATGTCCCTGGCTTCTCTTACCACTTTTCCCACAATTGCTAAATTATTCATATTCATTACCATCAATTGCCCCTTTTCTTTTATATATGATTTTTATTTTTTAATGAATCATTACTTAAGGTTAAAGCTAGCCAAACATTTTTTAATTAATAGTCTTTTCATCCAAAAAGAGCCCAATGGTTATCTTGTGTTTGGGTTTTTTTGTTTTTGTTTTTCATAATTTGTAATGAAAGCAAAATGATTATCAAAATTGTGTTTGACAAATGAAAACTTTTGATAGCCATTTTAAAAAGAATTTCAGTGAAGGATAGTGCAAAAAAGAGAGAGAGATGAAAACTGGGCCCCTTTCAAGCCCTGCAAAACAAAACAAAAAACTACTTCAAAACGTTTGCAGAACTGATTTGCTTTCTTTTGCATTTCCCAGGCAGCTCTGCTGGGGACAGATCGGTGCATCCTGAGTGGCCCGTTTGCAGATGCTCTTGGAGCTGGAACCTTGACTTTTGCATTTCCTCGCTGTTCCTGCACGTTTGGCTTTGCAGCCTCCGTGCTGCATCGGTGCAGGCTGGTGCATGAATGTCTTGGGGCCCTTTGAGAGCAGACGGGCGCTGGAGAAACCGAAGGGCTGTTAAATTATTATGCCTGGGATTATTGCCAGGCCAAAGGCCCCTCCCCCAGTTCCAAACCCCCTGCCCCTAGGCGGGGGAGGGGGGGCAAATCCCCTCTGCTGGGCAGGAAGGGGAGGGGTGGCGAGGACAATAACTCTCCTTTCTGCACTGCCCCCAGCCCCTCCCCCAGCCGCCAGGCTCCGCCCTCCCCTCCAGAATGGCTCCTTGGGAATTTGGGGAGCCTCT